TGGAATGCCAAGTGTCGCTGTCTCGTGCCCTGGTTGCGAGACCAGCTTTTTTTATTAGTGATATGATATGGTATGATATTAGATTGCTTTTTGATTATTCATCGAGCAATAATTGACCAAATTGGTAAACAAAGTGATAGTGAATTAATTGACAATGTAGTACAAAATAAAACAATCATACATCACAGTAATTTTTTTTTTTAAAAAAAAAAAGAATATGTCAGAAGTGGGATTTGAACCCACGCCCTCGTTAGAGGACCAGAACTTGAGTCTGGCGCCTTAGACCACTCGGCCATCCTGACTTCGACGTTATCTTTCATTAAATTTTCTATATAACTTGTTAAATTAAATGATTTTATACTAATTAAAATATTGTATCTCCAAATCCAAATAGTCAATCCCCCACGAGGCCTCCACTGTGTTGCCCCCGTCATTATTTTCAACCCTTCCTTGAAGATTCACAAACTTAAGCCTATCAAATCATACACTGGGTTGTTTGGTGATGATTTTCTTATATTTATTTACAAGCAGTTAACATAAATTTTACGGAATCTTGTATAATTAGTGGTCATATATATAGTTTCAAACAACATTATAAGAATCCGATATGCATCTCTAATTCTCCATTTCAATAATAAGGCCTTGTTTAGTTCAACTTATTTTTACTTATTTTAGAAAAAATAAATTTAGATCAGATTAGTTCATAAAAAATAAATTCAGATCATCGTTTTATATGTTATTTTTTATCGCTAAATATCTTTAATTTCTTAATGAAAATAATTATGAAAATTACATATTAATAAAATACACATTATTACGAATCTAACGAGATCCCACTTGATATATTTTTTCCTTACAAATTATCGTACACTTAAGGTCAAAGTTTAGTCAAATTAGACAATAAGATCAGATCATATCAGACCAGACCAGACCAGATAAGTTCAGATAAGCAAAATAAGGTGAACTAAACAGGACCTGAGTTCGGTAAGATTTGTTGGTGAGTTATAGTACTGCATTGACTTACAACAAAGAGTTGTTTCCTATCTAGTGCCTATTGAGAAGGCCACGCCGCTATTGTATGTAACTTGTAAACATTACGAAAAGAGATGCAGTTACGCCAGAAATCTGCACTTTCGATATGCTTACTTATCTACTCTACTATGCTACTCGTACTATACTAAAACTTGAATGAGTGAATGAATAATGCATGTTGCATATGAAGTAGGTACCTTAGATTCAGGGAATTAAACACCATAATAAAAGATGAACATTGCCTATACACTTGTACTTGGACTATATGCTGATTCGGATTTTACTTCCTAGTTACATTTTTGGCTTTTTACTTTTTTTTTTTTTTTTGGACTTCTCACTTTGGATCATCATATACTAGTCACAATCCCATTTTTTGAGCGATATTGGCATCACCGGCCTATATAATATACACTTAATAATTAGGGTGTTCATTGTACACTCGAATGTAATTTTTATACCATCATATATATTATATGCTCACAAATATGAAATAGTACAAACAACTATTTGTATTGCTCCAAAAAAGACAATTAACTACACCGCTTAATTCAAAGTAGTTATTTATCAATATTTTTAATTTCTAAACTTTTACAACTTTGTTTTTTTTTATTATCATTATTGATAAAATTTTTTTCAATTGCATATACTTAACAGACCTACCAATTGGTTGTTGGTGTAGTGGTGATTGAGGCTGCACTTGGTAGGGAGGACCGCGTGTTCGATCCCCCACAACAACAATTGAGAGGGGACTGGAACCTAACCACTCAAAACTGAGCCTCGAATCTAGATTAGTTCAAAACAAATCTCATCCCCCTATCTCCTCCTGACATTGCCAGCCATGATTCCTGTGATAGGAGCCTTCGGTTGGAGTACAGTTAACCTTACCGAGTAAACAAAGAAAAAAAAATGCTTATATTCTTAGTTAAAAATTAACGTTACACCACGTAACTTAGGACATTCCACAAACCAAATAAGGCAATAACTAATTTTTCCTTCACTTTAAGATCTTCAACTCTACAAGTATATCCAAAAAAAAAAAAAAATGTCTCCCCTATAAATATCAACAGTGTACATAAATAGTATTGTAATTTGTAATGAACATGTTAGGCAAAGTCCAAAACCGCCTTCTTTGTTTCTCTGCAAATAGCAGCAACCGCCTTTCTCTTTTCTTTACTCACCGTTTCTTCAATTTCTTTCTTTATACCTCATTGTCCAATCTCTCTCAATAATTATCCATTTTTCCTCCCAAAAATATATCCATTTTTCCTTCATTCTCACTTCACTCCACTGAAAAGAGTGACAACAAAGAAAAACAAAATCACAAAATTTTGCAGTAATAAGAAACTAACAGAGAGTGTGTTATTCCTTTCTTTAACTAGTTTTGACTCGTTAACTCGATAAATTAAATTATTTCTTCTCACTTCAAAATTTCTCTTTGATCCTGAAGTTCTTGGTAAAAAAAAAAGAATGATCTATAATTTCTGTAATTGATGTTTAAATGAAATATATTTCACAAACAAAATTTAATTGTTGCAAAATCCAAATTATTACTTTATTGTGATTTCGTGTCTCTGTTTTTTGTCGTATATTTGTTTAGTGGTAATTATTTAAGGGACTCAAAAGTGTGTGAAAATCATCAATTAAATTTTGAGTGTAACAATACGTATTTTTGAAGTACAAAATTGAAAAGAAGTAAGAAATGGATCAGAAGCAGATTCTAATGTCAGCAGTAGGGGTAGGAATCGGAGTGGGTGTCGGGCTCGGGTTGGCGTCCGGGCAGACGATGAGCAAATGGACGGGAAGCTCATCGGGTTCGAATACGATTACCGCTGAGAAAATGGAGCAAGAGTTGCTTAGGATGACCATTGATGGAAGAGATTCTAAGGTCACTTTTGATGAATTTCCTTACTATCTTAGGTATTTTCTCTTTCTTGTTTTTGGGTTTTTATTACTTAATACTTTTTACTTGTATAATGTTAGATAGATTTATTGATGATATGATCACATGAGAATTGGTATTAGATGATGTTCTGTTTTTTTGGGTCTTAATTATCTACAAGGGCATTACAAATTACAAATTACAAATGAGGGAATTGAACTTGTTATCATCTATCGTACACAGATCCTCAGTTTATATTATCGTTACATTTTGTCTATAGGCCTGAGGTCATATGCTATAAGTTTGTACGTTGCATTGCTTACCTTATTATAAAGTTGATATTTATAAAGTTGATTAAGTAATAGGGAGAAAGTGAGAATGGTACAACTATTGTGTTAAAGGGTTTTGAGTAAAATTGTGCCATATAAATAATTAAGTACGGGAATACTGTATGAAACCATTTATTGAACCGCAAATTAGTTAACTAGACAAGGGAACGAATGAGCGATTATGCAAGTTCGGATTCTGTGAAGAGAGTAACACGAGAAGTTCAGTTTAATTGTCTGTGCTCTAGTATTATAATGATTTTCACTTTGTTTATGTTTATGAAGTACGAGTACTTGGTATATTTTTTTTATGTCTCTGCGGTTAAGTTGTAACTAGAAAGTAGTGACTAAGGATTTTGGATAAGGTGACTTCAATTTAATAATGTTAAGTCTTGGTAGAGATATTTTTGGACCTAAAACTCTGACTATTGAGCTTGAAGCACAGCTGTCTGATTCTCTTAGTTTTATCTATTGAGTTCTGGCAGCTGTGTGTCTGTGGTATGTTCCGTTGTCGAATTATCATTGATTAGTGGTCACATTTGTGCAATTATCTATTGATGGTCTAAGTAGGATTATACAGGAGGAAACTGGAGGTTAATCCTCTAAACAACTCAAGATTATGTTTTTTAGTGTGCTTTTTCCTTCCAATACATAATACGGAATACATTCCCGCTGTTTCTTTTTGATGATCTTAATTAGAATCTTGCAACTATTTACAATTTCACGGAATCTTATTATTGATTTCCTATATACAGAGTATTTTTTTTTTTTTTATAAAAAGAAGCATAATCTTATAGAGTTATAGGGTCTTGTTTGAATGGTTTGAATGAGTGCATAAAAAATATCAATAAAATTTAATTTTTACTAATACATAATTATAGATAATTGTGATAATGGTTAATGATATTGAAAATGTGCGAAAGTAAAAAAGAAACGGATGGAGTATATTAAATACTACGTAGTTATTTTCAATAAATTTTTCCTAATATATTAAATTGCCCGATATATGATTATTATGAAGGGTGTCATAATATATCATGCAAAATCTTTTGCTAGAGGTGTTGGATCAATGTGGCTACGAGTAATATCTTTGCACAGGAAATATGCATTACTTTTTTTGAGTTTGTAATTTAATTATGCTCTTTTTGCTTTAAGAAGGATTTGAAGAATGAACAATATATCAAGTATGTCAAGCAGAAGGAAATTCTGGGGATTCCCTTTTTCATATTTTTGAGGATGGATTTCGAGAAGGAACTTAGCTTCATTTTGTGGATTAACATCAATATAAATACTACTTCGTATGTTGCTTCAGAGTACGCCTAGCATATACCTTTAAAATGGCAGATTATTTGTCCTACTGTTGAATAGTTGTGCTATGACTGTCAAAGTTCACTGGTTGTTAGTAAGACTATCTATTACTTGAATGAATGTTTAGGTGGTCAAGTAATGAAAGGAAATTTTGCAAGTCACTTGGAGTTTCATTATTATAAATTTGAATTCTTATACCTTGTTCTATGATGAATCTTGTTCGCATTAGTAACCTTGGATGCCATTGTGTGATTTTTCAGTGAGCAGACAAGGGTGCTGTTAACAAGTGCTGCTCATTTCTATTTGAGGAAAGGTGACTTCTCAAAGTATACTCGAAACTTGTCTCCTGCAAGCCGAGCTATTTTACTCTCAGGACCTGCTGGTTAGTCTTCTTGTAGTTATGCTTCCTTATGTTGGCTAATCTACGTTGTATAATGTAATTGACTAAAGAGGCTATGCTTTATATAGAACTTTACCAGCAAATGCTAGCGAAGGCTCTAGCACATTTCTTTGAGGCAAAGTTGTTGCTGTTAGATGTCAATGACTTTGTACTGAAGGTTCGTAACTCCTATCCCCCTTCTCCCTAGGAAATGGTGCAATTGCAGAAGAAATGAAAGTGAATTTTCCTGAACAGTAATTATCAGAAGAGCTTTGCAAGAAAACTAAGCATGGTTCTCTTATTACATCTCACTTGCTTCTTTTGCAGATTCAGAGCAAATATGGTGTCAATAATGATTCCGTAAGTTATTTTAAGCTTTTTCTTTAGTCTGTTAAGATAATGAATTTGCCTGTTTCTCAAACTTTCTTTGTGTGCATGAAGAAAATTAATTGCTCCATCTTATTCATTCTTTGTTTTTTTTCAGTCCTTCAAAAGGTCCACCTCTGAGACTACTTTGGAGCGTCTTTCAGGTTTATTTGGGTCATTTTCTGTGCTGCCAGCAAAGGATGAACCCTAAGGTAATCTGTTCAAAACTTTGTAAATATTGGTAAATTTTTGGAGACCTAATTTGTCATTCCATTCATTATACAGAAGAATCACAAGAGTACAAAAATTCACCTACAAGATTACAGATGTATTATTATTCAAACATATTAGAACTTATTAACCATCTGGTTTGCTCTGTCCATTTATGTTAAAATTTTCATGCTCATTTCTCTGACCTTCAGCTGGTACCTTGCGTCGCCAGGGAAGCGGATTTGACAATTTAAGGTAATTACATTCTGGCCATGAGCTAGACCCAATCCAATATCTACTAAAGTTTATGCGCCTCTAACACCATCTGTTTCCGTGCACAGGAATATAGAAGGTTCTTCTAGTTTTCCTAAGCTTCGTAGGAATGCTTCTGCCTCTGCCAGTATACATGATTTGCTTTTGCAAGCCGCTCCTACAAATACAGGTCTTTGCTATGTTTTAATCAATAAAACTAATTTTAATGGACTTAAGCCCTATCAGTGTGCGTGGCTCAGTAGAGAATTTCCAAGGGTGTGAATAATTATATCTAGCTTCCAAATTTTAGATGTCATTGATGTTGTGAAGTACCGTAGTAGTACTCAGCTGCATGGTTAATATCTTAAGTCTTGTTGACCTTCTATATTCAGTTTTGCTTTCTGTGTTTTGGAATCAAAGGGTTCACATCTTAACATCAGTCTTCGGAGCTTTACAAAGTTGATATCTTATTAGAACATCGATGATTTACATCTGATGCAGCTCTCTGCTAATGATGAAAGTTTGTATAATATTAAGAAATCTCTGACATACTTATAATTTACTCATTTATGTTTCTACCAATTCTCTCAACAGTCTCAAGGACAGCAGTTTGTTTATTTATGGTTGGCGGCTACTTTGTCCTTTGTTTTCGGGGGAGGATGTGGTAATGTGGGAGTTGGAGCTTCCAGAATGGTTTAGGGAGTGATTGAAAGTGGCTATGCTGATTTACAAATCTCACCGTCAAGTCCATTATACTTGGAGTAGCTGAAGTTTATTCTTCTGTTGATTATACTAAGGGTTAAGCAAAATCCCTGACAGTGCATATGATGCTGTATCATGCCTGTATTTCTTTCTCTTTTCCTGTGCTCATGGTTACTTCTGTTCTTCAGCTCCCCTTAAGCGAACAAGCAGCTGGTCCATTGATGAAAAGCTACTCATTCAATCACTTTACAAGGTGATGTGCTTTTTTATCCTTAATGGCTAGGTTGACAGCTGTTTATCTCTTAATGTCTGCATTTTTGTGATTTGTGAAGTTTGGCATGGGCATAACCTTTTTTTGTTTTCCGTATTCTGTGGACAGGTTATGGTCTCTGTATCTAGAACTTATCCAATCATTTTGTATCTAAGAGATGTTGACATGCTCTTGTTCAGATCTCAGAAGCTATACAGACTGTTCCAAAAAATGTTACAGAAACTTTCAGGACCAGTACTCATACTAGGTTCACGAATAACACATCCTAACAGCGATGATAATGACATTGATGATATGATTATTGATGTATTTCCTTATAATATTGAGATTAAACCACCAGAAGATGAATCACGTCAAGTTAGCTGGAAATCTCAATTGGAGGTGGACCTGAAGATGATTCAGGGTCAGGACAACAGAAACCACATTATTGAAGTGCTAGCTGCAAACGATGTCGAATGTGATGATCTTGGCTCCATTAATGTGGAAGATACCTTTGTTCTCAGCAGATACATTGAAGAAATCGTTGTATCAGCAATTTCTTATCATTTGATGAATAATAAGCATGAATATAGGAATGGGAAACTCCTGATTTCATTCCAGAGGTCTGCTGTTATATATTTTTCAACATATTTGTCCGACCTTCATATCATCCTAAATAAATTTCTTTCCTTTGCTTTGAGTTGGGATATATTTTGGTCATGTGACCCTTTTAATAATGTGCTTTTGGCCTGTTGAACAGTTTATCCCATGGACTGAGCGTGTTTCAGGAACGTAAATCAGCTGCCAAGGATACATTGAAGCCAGAATCACGTGGCAGACCTTTAAAGGTAAGTTTGTTATTAGAGTAGAGTAATATGTAAATTAAAAGTCGAGGAGCCATCTAGTCCATCACTCCATCATGCTGCACTTGTAGGGAACACGTGGAGATGTTAAGCCAGAAACTAAAGCTGAAGGTGCAGCTCCGAAAAACAAAGGTGGAGAAGAAGCATCGGTACCAATGTCAAAGGATGCAGATAATGAGGCTGCAAGTCCAAAGGTCCCTGTAAGTACAGTTGCTCAACTGTGGTGATCTTAATAATGTTGTTCATGTGATTGATATCAAATTAGTGCTTCAAGTTTGTGCTGATATTATTTTTGTTCCCAACCAAATTGCCAACTTCGATGTGATCCATTTCATCGTGTCCTACAGGAAATACCTCCTGACAATGAGTTTGAGAGGAGGATAAGGCCAGAGGTCATTCCTGCAAACGAGATTTCCGTGTCATTTGCTGATATTGGAGCCCTGGATGAAACCAAGGAATCACTGCAGGAACTAGTAATGCTTCCACTTCGTAGACCAGACTTGTTCAAGGGAGGACTTCTGAAACCCTGTCGAGGAATTTTGCTTTTTGGGCCTCCTGGTACAGTCAAAACGATGCTGGCCAAGGCTATAGCCAAAGAGGCCGGAGCAAGTTTTATTAATGTATCTATGTCAACCATCACATCTAAATGATTTGGTGAAGATGAAAAAAATGTTAGGGGACTGTTCAGCCTTGCATCTAAAGTTTCCCCAACAATTATATTTGTAGATGAAGTTGACAGTATGCTTGGACAAAGGACCAGGGTTGGTGAGCATGAAGCTATGAGAAAGATTAAAAACGAGTTTATGACACATTGGGATGGACTTACAACTAAACAAGGTGAGAGAATCCTTGTTCTTGCTGCAACCAATAGGCCATTTGACCTAGATGAAGCGATTATACGACGTTTTGAAAGGAGGTAATTAGCAGTATTATTTAGTTTTATTGTATTTCCATAATGTTTTTGCGAAGCTAGAGTAAGCTCTGGATGGACTTGATTAGTTGTAGCATTGTAGCTCACTATTCTGCGTTTTTTTCATCCTCAAATCATAGGATTATGGTGGGGCTTCCATCAGCGGAGAATAGAGAGAATATCTTGAGAACTCTTTTATCGAAAGAGAAAGTTGAAGAAGGACTAAATTTCAAGGAGATTGGAATAATGACAGAAGGATATAGCGGTAGTGATCTTAAGGTAAGTTCTGCATTTGTGGTCCTCATCTGAGGAAGATAATTTATTTTGGGTGGTGTGAGGTGGGGTTTTAATTTTGAAAGTAAGCTCTTTATTAAAATTCTCTGTATAATGGCCGTAAACCATGACAAGCATTGCTATGTGGCAGAATCTTTGTACGACTGCTGCATATCGACCTGTTAGGGAGTTGATACAGCAAGAGAGATTGAAAGATATGGTAAGTTCATAGTTCTCTGGAAGGTTTTGTTTCCGCTGTTGTTTTTTTTTTTTTTATCTACTTCCAGTATTATAAGAATTCATTTTTTTATTCAGGAGAAAAACAGGAATCAGAAGAAGGCCAAAATTCGGATTCACAAAAGAAGGAAGGTGCTAAGGACAGAGTAATTTCTCTGAGGCCTCTAAATCTGGAGGATTTTAGGCAGGCTAAGAACCAGGTAGGTCTCCTGCTTGAACACCAAATGCATGATTTGACATGCTTAACATTTCGAATATCATATCGTCTTCATTGATTGCTTGCTTTACCTTTGTTGGTGATTATAGAAGCCCTGTTTCATCTGTCAACCCTACTTGTTTGCAGGTTGCTGCTAGCTTTTCATCCGGAGGAGCAATTATGAATGAGCTGAAGCAGTGGAATGAGCTTTATGGGGAAGGAGGCACACGGAAGAAAGAGCAGCTTACATACTTTTTGTGAATGTGAACTTGGAAAAGTTGGTTCATTACCTAGTTCCTTCTATGGAATCAGTGATTATCTGAACAAGGAAATCATTTTGCGACTTGTGTTCTTGAATGCGGCACTGCTGAGGTACACTGAAAGCTGTGGTAGGGAAAATGGTGAAAAGACCATGATGTATCTTACTTCAACATAGTTTAACCTTGCTTACCCTCAACTCCTCAATTTTGATGTCTAAATATGGGTGCAATCTTCCTAGACCAGGCCACTCTTCATGTTGTGCTGTTTCGTTTAAGGGACATTGTTTGAATTGTGACTGGCCAATGCTGTGTAATAATTGTAAGAAATTAACTGTGATTTTGAACTCTACTTTAATTACTGATATTCATGATATTTACTTTCAATAAACTTTATATATATAGAATTGTAGGCATAAATGGTTAAGGATATGCATTGGATAAGTAAGGTATAAAATGTAATGAGAAAATTTCGTTATATAGAGGGAGTATGTTCAAAGTTGCATGAAATATATTCCATGCCTTTAAACAATCTTAAAATAATGAAAATTAAGTAAGTAAACCGATGACCATAAACAATCTTAAAATGAAAATTAAGTAATTAAGCTGATGAGGTCTTGGCCTAATGGTTAAGACTGAGGGCCTGTGTACGATAAGTCACAGGTTCAAATTTTACAATTCCCATTTGTAATTTGTATTGTCCTTGTGGTTCATTCGCATAAAAAAAAAATATAAAAAAAACTATAATTAAGCTATAATTACACAAATTCTATTGTCTACGTTTGTAATACTTATAATCTTAACATACAAGATTAACATGAAATCATGTCATTAATTAAGCTAGAATTGCTTTTTGTGATGACGGCTTATTAATCAAAATTATTGTTCTTACCTTTAAAATAAAATTGTAGGTACACATTGAAAAAGCTATAGGTCCTTAGTACTTCGCATTCGTTAGAGTTATTTAAAAATATGAAAGGATTGAATTATACGAAGTATTTATTTATTTCCTAATAGCTATGTTCATTCATTAGAGTTATTTTGTTTAACTATAATCTAATGGAATAAACACTAAATAATTTATACTGAATAATACTTGTAATTTGATTATATACATACGTGATATATCTTAATTTATATTATTAATTTTCGGTTTTTTTTTTTTTTTTTTTTTTTTTTTGGTCAACGGATAATAATATATCTAGTGAGGATAGATTTTTAGTGGAGTTGTCTTTGAGTTGGATAAAATTTCCTAACTTCGATAAAAATTGTGTAATTTAACCATGCACCTCTACATATATATAATATAATGTGGGGCTACCTATAAATATGTGGAAAAAGATTAATTATAATGAAACCACGACTTTGAGGGAAAAAAAAAATTACCTTGTTAGGGCTATAGTCCTCTGTACAGGCTTAGTGAGATGGCGTTAAGCATGAAGCAGATGGCTATCCTTATTGCCTTCTTCGGCGTCGTATCGTTAATATGCGGTATTATTGCTGAAAGTAAGAAGGTATTTTGATTATTTTCTCTATGCATCTACTTGTATGTGCTGAATATTGCATTGTGTAATAATTTTCAAGTCTCCTGTTTTTGAGATTTGAGAGTTGTTTCCTTGCGTTTTGAACTTTTGATGCATTATTAAGGAACTTTCCTTGTTTAAAGCGTAACACTAATGTTAACTTTTCCGGTTGAAATAATTATAGATGGTTTATCTGCTTGAAATTTAATTGTGTAGATTCTTAGATACAACCCTGGTGTGATTTTTAGTCGTTGCTGCCTTGCGAGCCATGTGCTTTAGACGAACACTCGTGTCACCTGATTCACGCACCACTTCAGGTGTAATAGGGCACATAGCTTATCAACTTTGAGTTCATGTAATTAACGTGCATTTGTGGCCTAATGCACGCTTCACAGTAAAAAGACGTGGATCATAATATGAAATGAAGCATATACTTTTACCTTCAAAAAAATAGTTTATAAATTAGGGACAAGATCATGAACATAAAGACTATAATGGATCTAACAGGTCTGTCTGCAGCATTGCCTACGCGTCTAATTAGTCTCACTTATGATATGCAGCCTGCAGCCGGAACACCTATTGCAGGGAAGGGTGTTGTCATCTGCAAGTATCCCTCTGATCCAACCGTAGCTCTGGGATATACATCTTTGGCTACTCTGGTGATAACTACTGCTATCGGGTTTAAGTCAATTTTTCACCCCTATGACAACAAGGCAGTTCCCACTCATGCCGTCTTTGGTAGCAAAGTCATGACTGTTTTCTTCAGTATTACTTGGTAGGTTGTTCCTCTCCTAATTTATTTATGATTTTTCAAGTTTTGTGTAATTTTGATGTTGTTCTACTAAATCTTTTAGTGTCTTCTGCATGGATTTCTGATATTGAAAAGTATTGTTGTTGATTATCGAACAAATGTCGTGAACAAAAACATGGAGTCACCATTAGTTTATCCTGTAATTTATCATAGCAAGATCATGGTAGCTTATTTAGCAAATTTCCTATGCAAAACCAGGGTTTGCAAATATGTTCCAAGCAAATCCATGTATTTTTCCATTAGTTACTGTTGCACATTTTATTGGTGATGTCGATTTTGAGCAATTTAAATGAGATTTATCATATTTTTGGAACATAAACAGGCTGATAGTGGGTTTAGCTGCTACACTGCTAGTATGGCCAACAATCAGTCAACAGCTTCATTTGAGTCACACAGTGCATCACACGCCACACTACGCTTGCCCCACCGCTAAAACAGGGCTCATGGGAGGTGGCGCCTTTATGTCTCTCAACTCAGCCCTCTTCTGGTTGTTGTGCCTAATGTTGGCTAAGAATGCGCGAGAAGATTACTTCGAGGGATCATCCCGAGTTTAGTTTCTTACAAGAGGTGATTGAATTAGCAGGAACATCAAATAACAGAGCTTGAATGAGTGACTGGAACTTCACTGGTTGAACAACTCCCTCGTTCACAGTAGTTTATACTTCGTATTTAGTATTAGTGATGGGAAATTTGTTGAATACCTAATTTACACTTCGTATGTCTATACATCTATTTTGTTGACGCGCAAAGGAGGTTTTGTGCTTTCATTCTTAACAAATTCTTTTAGTCTTGTGTTAACACTTTGTTTGGATTTAAGGGAATGAAGGGAAAAGAAGGGAAGGGAAGGGAAGGGAAATGGAGGGATGGATTATCTTTCATTTGGATAACAGATAAGAAAGGAAGAGAATTAGAGGGGAGAGAAATGAAAGGATTAATTTGTAAGAAATTAATCACTCTAACAATGGAGAAATTTGAAAGGAAAACTCATCTTTCTTCCCTCCCCTTCCTTTATCTTCCCTCCCCTTCACCTCCCTCCCCTTCTTTTCTTTCCCGTTACTTTATCCAAACATTAATGTCTAAACAGTTCCATAGATCATTTTTTTTTTTCTTTGGCGATGAGAAAAGAAAGAGAACAGTTATTCTTGCCTCAATAGCAAGATTATGTGCCCCAGTTACCACCCTCTTAGGAACCTTAGTTCATATTTGGGATTATTCGCTCCCGATTATTACTAAAGGAACTCTACTTTCTTGGGCATGAAAACCAAGAAGAAAGGAAAGTCTAAATTTAGAGTTAAAAAGGATTTATAACTTCAAAAATCATACTACTACGATTTTATTTATATACGTAAATGTTTCATCATTTTTGAAGGTTTTGTCATCAGCTCACGAGCAATGAAAACGGAGAAAAAGAAGCACGGGTAGTCCCAATTAGCGAGAGGGGGATTTACTGATCTCGAGTAAAATTCATAATCAGGCTAAATTAATGACCTAGGAAGTTCATATACTTGTTCCCAAAACAGAAACAGATTGGGCATCGAAAATTGACCCAAACAGAAATTCAAAAGCTGATTTAAGGGAAATTCTAACAATATGCATGTCACACCTCCCATGTAATAAAGCTCTCTTTCTTCCATTGTTGATTATTCAGCCAAGGCCATAAGCTATACGAACATATCGTGCACAAGCACAACCAGACCATAATTTACAAATTATAACCGTTAGACATGAATAAGCAAACATCATCAGTTTTCACGTTAACTTATCAACATGGTTAGTAGTAATGTTAACCATTCCCCACCGTTGTAAATGAACTCTTCCCCTCTAAACTCCATACAGTCCGTAGCAGTGTTATTCTTTATGCAGAATGAGCTCAGAAGCTCAAAACCTATCAACGATTATACAGCCAGAACAGCTAATTAACAAAATGATAGAAGCTGCCGAGTGCATAGCTGCATACTACACGTCAAGATGCCAAGTGCTGAGTGCATACTACAGCTCAAGACTCAAGACTCAAGACATGAGAAATAATCATTTTATTGCCCTCTATGGAGCATAACTAGTTCATCAAGCATGATATTCCATCAGTTTAATCATGTTTCAAGATTACAACATATTGAACACCATCAAAATGAATCTTATTGGAGGAGTAACACATTACATGCAAACAGAAAATTGTCAGTTAGAACATCCATTTATAAACATGATTTGATCTACCTATTGTAGCACAAACTAAAACAGTGGTAAAACCATCTACAAAAATAGAGATTAAAAATGAAAAAAAAAACACACAATGATCAATCAACCAACCATTCACGAAGAATGGCATCACTTTATAATCTCAGAAAGTGCAGACGTATTAATAAAAACTGCTGTCTTCCCCATGTTTAGTATGAAATATTCATAATGGTTATCGCTGTATATCGAAAGTGCTTACAAATTCCAGCAAGCAATTCCTACCCGAGTAATATAATTCACTGGACAAATAAACCTACCATGAATACGGCCACCAAAACCTCGTACTTAACATTCTACCACATTAAGCTGTCTTCTTGTCTTTCAATGGACCCCTTGGTATTTTGCTCAATACTTTTGCATCGAAGACTGCATACTGCTTCTTTAACTCAATCATGGCCTTCTCACCAAAAGCATCTACTTGATCCTCATATTTCTCATACAGCACAGGCACGGTGTGAAGGAGAACAAAGCCTATTTCACCCAGGGGAAAACCAAGCAAATGAAAATAAGAAAATCATTCAGTATATGTAACCATATATGAAGAATTATTGAGCTTGAGAATAAATGGACATTACATATGTAGAACAGAGTCAAGAAGTTGCAGCAACTGCCCAAAATTGAAAAAACCCACAAGCCAGCAATCACCTGATAAAGAGGATCAAAGTAAGTTCCACACTAACAAAAGTTTTACATAAGCAATTGTAAGGTTACCGGGGAACATACAGCAAGAAACTTTTTCAGGTCTCTTCCTGAAGCAATCTCACGAAGAGATGCAAGACCTCGATTGATCTCATATCTCAAGGCAGAGGCAAATTCTAGGATAGGGCCTTCTGGGATCCGTGCTTCAGGAATTTGTGGGGGAGCCCTGTAAAGAGATCAGGTGCGTTAACAAAAAAAAGAAGTAGGATAAAACTTCAGTTACAGGACATAGCAATGACAATAACCACAGCTTACTTGCTCATGAAAGTTGAAGCGTTTGACCACAGAAACAGCACGGTAATTGTAAGCATCAAGAGATGGCAAACCAGAGTGAGCAAATGATACTCAAATACTTCAAATAGAGCCCACACACCTGTGACAGTCCCAAGAACTATCGCCGAAGTTTTCTTGTCCCTCCAGAGAAACACATCTGCAGCTGCAGCCATGTGGAATCAAAATCACAAATGCAAGCAACAAAGTGGAAAGTGGAATATCCCCACATACTACTATAATAAACAAGAGACTTGTAGATTACATTAACACCAATTCTTAAACACCTCCCCTGCTTTATAGCCAACTAAAAAGGGTAAAGGGGAATCTATATTATGATTTAGAAGATTCATATACAAATTGAAATAACTTCTATGCTTTTGCATAATTTAATTCCCTTAATTGAATCTCTTTACACAATTGTTTCGCCTTGCGATAAAGTAATCAAGTACTTTAAACTTTCACACCATCACATAATCCCTTTTTGACTACAGTCATAAACATCAACATTGAAGACCCAGCTCAAAGAAGCTGTAACTTGACATGAAAAAGGCCATTAATATATTTCAACAAACCCAACTCAACTCTTACTTTTTCCACCTAAAAAAGCATCAGTATTCATTACTATAAACAAAATATCGAAAAGTAGTAACATTATCATGCCTAATTACACTAATTCCTCCTTAAACTCAATATTCAACAATTATGAATTATGATCACAAATTTTACGATTTCAAAATGTTACAATTATAAGATCAAAATTCAGAAACCATATCATAAACTAGATCTATGTCACAAACATCCTTCGAATTATAGTCACACCAACATTAATCAATCAAACATGATCAAATCCCAAGCTTAAGTCTAAACAATCACACAAACAAATCATTCAATAAAAACCACAATTACAATCAAAATCACTCCCGATCTCCATTAATTAACAATAATCAAGCTAAAAACAATTATCAATCACACAAATTGTACGAAAATCAAGCAAATTCAGAAGATACAAACAACAATTCAATCATAAATAGCGAAAATCGAATATCGAAAAAACATACATTTACCACCACCAAGGACCTTATGAACAGGCTTATCTCTACCAAAAAGACGATAAATCTTAGATTTCAAAGAAGAAGGAGCGGGTTTATCGTCATCGGAATCGGAAGAAGAAGAATCATGGTGGTGAATTTTCTCGGCGATCTTCTCCATGAGTGATTCAGGCTTAGGTTTTTCTTCGTGTTCCGCCATAACAGATAAACCCTAGAAAACTTCGGTTTCTCTCTCTATTTCTCTGTAAATTTCACCTGACAATATTTTCTCTCTCTGAATTTTGTGATGATAGCTCGGTTTTTATTTTATTTCGTGAAAAATGGCCCCTTTCTCTGTCTTTAATAATGTCAGCCGTTTCTATAGAAGTTAACCCAAACCCAAACCTGTTACTCAGGGAATTAAATTAAGGGTAATTGGGTCGGGTTCGGTTGAATTGGTTCAGGTTGGGTTTCATTTTATAGTTTGAGTTGTGTTAAATTACTATGTTTATACACATTTAAATTTGAATCGAATTTGGATTGGATTAGATTGGGTCATGACTAATTTTAATTGACATCTCTGTGAAATATAGTCTTGACTCTTGAGCCGACTTGTACATGTCATACATTGTATTTATTTTATTTTTTTTTAACAAGGTCATATGGTGTATTTGGAAATATTATCTCTATTTCTTTTTGTTTGTTTTGTCATCTTTTGAAGGCGTCTAAAGATTGCTTCATTGCCTTAAAATAAGAAAATGGACTTGAAGAATAGTCTTTAGCTTAGTATGGTGTATTTGGAAATAATTTAGAATTTATTCGGTTTATTTAGTGTAGGTATAGACGTAATGTGATTTAGTTGTTGTTGTCTTATTACATAAATTAAGGGTCTACAAATTAAGTAAAAGTTATTTTCATCTTGTGGAAATCCATGTCTAAGGAAGGTTTTGATTTAATATATAGCACAATCAACTAATTCATGTCAATGTCAACCCTAAATAAAGCAATAAAGGAGGTGACAATCGAATAAAACCTTATAAAGCAAGAAATCAAAATACGTTGAAGATAACAGTTAATTGGTTATGCATAGCGGCATAGTGAAAATCAACCAAAGTTGTAGAACCCAATTGGTTTATAACTATCATCGTCTCGTGATTTGACATGTGACTCATTGATTGTGCACTGGAGTATTGACTCGTAAACTAAGCTTTCGAACACTTCTTCACATCTAAACCCTACACTTTTTCCTTTATTTTTATTACGAAGTATTACAATTTTCCCTTCCTCTATTTAACAACACTTTACATGTTAACTTGTATATTTTGAAAGAATTTGACTAACATTTATAATTAGTCTTAATAATCATACACCTTAAGATAAATATTAACACATCATTACAAAATTCCACAATATAGAGAGTGAGGGATAGCTCAAGTGATTAAAGTTTTCTTCCCGATTTTAGGGGATCCTCGGATTGTTTCTGATCATTCCGCTCTTGTGGCTCTCTAAACACCAAAAAAAAAATAAAAAATTCCACAATATACTATACTTCCTCCGTTCCTTAATAGATGACACTTTCTTTTATCACGTATGCCAACGCACAATTTTAATGAGTTATATCTTCCATTATTAACATTATAAAATTTTAAAAAGTGGACATTAATAAAATATATATTAAGACGATTCAAACAAAATCCCACATGATTATGTTTTATCGTAGCTACAAATCACAAAAGCTAGTTTAAGTGTTGTTTGTGAATAAATCAAACTGTGTCATCTAAAAAGGAACGGAGAAAGTATGTAACAAGAATAAATACGGAGTAGCTATAGCTATTTTGGACCTTTGTGACGAAGTATCCTCAACGACCTCAAAGGGGTCAATAAGAAACAACCAACCCATAAACTGCTCTTAAGAGGAGGCATTCCAAAAGGAGGTTAGTGAGACATTTACAAATATAATGAGGGATAGTGTAGTCATTTCATTTTAAATTACGCAAAATTTCACGTGGATTGGGTGATCAAATAGTATCATTGTATGTATTTAGTGGCATTATATATGCTTGTCGTGGTACGAAATACACTCTCAGTGATATTTTATAAGCTTCTAGTGGTATAAATAGAGTGTACTCCTCATTGAGTAGTCAGATAGTACCATTGTATATTTAGTGATACTATAAATGTTTTCAGTGGTACTAGATACACTCTCAATACTACTTGAAAAAAAATTTCAATGATATTTTATAAACTTCCAATGGTACAAGTCAAAGTGTGAAAATTTTACCCTACACCCTAGTGTAGGGTGTGTTCCCTACACCCCCCCTATGCTACGTCGTTTTGTAGCTGGTATTGAGTTCCCTTTTGCGATTCTTTCCTTTTTTTTTTTTTTTTTTTTTTTCCTTTTTTTCTTTTTTTCTTTTCTTCCTCTTTTTTCCTTTTTCCTTTGATTCTTATTATTCAATTTATGTATATATATATGATTTTAAACCCTATTTTTTCTCTCTCTTCAATTGATCAACCAACCTCCATTTTTGATCTACATTTTTCTCTCGCTAATTCATCTTCTTCATTTGATTTTTTGAACGAATTCGTTAATTGTTACCGATCATCAATGGCGAATTCTGCATCTGGAGATTGCGTTGATTTTGATCGCGATTGCGAGCGTGTGTTTCCTTCTGGACTTCGTTTCGTTGATTCGTTTGTGCAACAATGTGAGTAATTGTGATCATAATTTTTCAATTTTTAATTATCCCTAATTTGTTCTGTTATAATGCTCTGTTAATTTGAACTTAATTGATGTATTATTATTCACTTTCGATTTTTGAATTTACTACTTTGATTACATTATGATGAACGTTTTTGGATTGTTGTACTTTGTATGAACATTTTGTTGCTTCATTTGTTGTTTCATTTGTTGTTTTCTCTGTGTTTTAGAATTGTGTGTTTTTGTCGTATATTTTGTAGATTATACTTTCAATTAATCGTTTATGTTTTCTTATTCATTGTTACTAATGTGTTTATGTTCAGTCTTAAAGTCATTTTTGATCATTTATTTTTACATTTTTATATCGATATTATGTGTAGTGGTAAATAATGAAAATATTGTTCAAAATATTATGTGCTGAAATTCTTTTTGCAATTGATCATGTGCTGTTTTGATATTGAACATTTTACTTATTTGTTATTGTTCATTCATGAAACTCTTTATGATCATTTATAATTGTATATTGTGCAGTGGAAAAAAATGATGATATTATGTATTTAGAAGCAGAACAGTCTGAATTAAAGGATAAAGAATTTAAATCTGAAGATGAAGCTTTCGAAGCGTATAATGAATATGCTTTTAGGAAAGGTTTTGGAATTCGAATTGGGAAGAGTAAGAGAAGAAGAGATGATTCTTTTTTGATGAAAAGATTTGTTTGTTGTAATGAAGGATTCAAAGATAATAAGTGTAAGAATAAAAGGATTTATGAGAAGTTGGATCATCGAACTGGTTGTTTAGCTTTTGTGCAGTTTCATATTGATCATTTAGGGGTCTATACATGTACAAGACATGAAATGGTTCATAATCATGCTATGATTCCTCCTGAAAAAAGGCATTTGATAAGGTCTCAAAGAGATGTGAATAAAGAGCAGCTTCTTTTCATTTCAACAATGAAATTGAGTGGAGTCAAAGTTACTGATTCTTTGAGGGTTCTAAAGAAGGAGGTTGGGGGATCTCCTAATCTTTGTTTTACTGCTTCTGATGCTTATAATGCATTGTCATCTGAAAAAGCTGCCCAAATTGAAGGATGTGATGGTAACCAATTGATTAAATATTTTGCCAAGAGACATGTGGATGAGACAGATTTTTATTATGATTTTGAACAAGATGATAGTGGTGCTTTAGTTAGTTTTTTTTGGCGTGATGGTAGGATGATGAGAGATTATCATTACTTTGGAGATTTGTTGGTTTTTGATACAACTTATAGAACTAATAAATATGGAATGATATGTGCTCCATTTGTTGGGATGAACCATCATGGTAACAATGTCATGTTTGGTATGGGTTTTATTCTTAATGAGCGCACCGAGTCTTTTGATTGGTTGTTTGATACATTTTTGCACTCAATGGGGAGGAAAAGTCCCATTACAATTATGACTGATCAAGCACAAGCGATTGCAGCGGGTATAAGAAACATTTTTCCTTCAACTGTTCATCATCGTTTATGTGTATGGCATCTTGAACAAAATTCTAAGAAACACATTGGAGCATTGAGAGCTTTGGAAGGCTTTACAGATTTGTTTGGATATCTTTTGAAGTATTGTGAAACTCCTGCTGAATTTGAATATTTCTGGAAAAGGTAAATTATTGTTTTTTGTATTTATTTTTTATTTTTATTATGTGATATATTTGATTATTATGTGATATATATATATGAACATTTAGTGTTTTACATATGATCACACAATTTACTTTGTTATGTATGTTATCATAATATTATTAGTGTCCATATTGTTTATGATCATTATTCTTTACACAAATGTACATATTTTAATTTATATTTTGTTCATTTTTAAATTAATATATGATCATTTCTGTTATACAGGATGTGTGATAAATACAAATGTGAAAATGATGATTGGTTATGTGATTTGTATAAAATAAAGGAAATGTGGTGTCCTGCTTATTCTAAGAAGTATTGGTCTGGTGGTATATTGTCTTCTCAACGTAGTGAAACTACTAATAAGTCAGTTTCACAACGTCTTAATAAGACTCAAGGTTTATGTGATTTTTATCATGTTTTTCTTGATGTCATTTCTGAGTGGAGAAGTAAGGAAGGTGCAAGAGATTACAATACTCTGAGGGGTAATAGGCACCTAGCTTTTGCTAATATTGGTATATTAGATCATGCAAGATCATTGTACACTATTCAAGCTTATGTTCTTTTTGAAGAGGAGTTCATTAGGGGGACAGCTTATGATCATGTTGATAATGGTTTGCGTTTTCCAGAATATTCATATCTTCTTTGGAGGCCTGGGAAGGATATAATTAAGCATGAAGTTGTTTTTAATAAGGAAACACATGCAATTTGTTGCACATGCATGTACTTTAGTGAGACTGGTTTACTTTGTTCTCATTCTCTTCGAGTATATCATTTGCATTGTGTGCGTAATATTCCACAAGAGTATATAATGAAACGATGGACAAAGGCTGCCATGTGTAGTCATGGTATTGAAGAACCTACTTTGAGGACAAATGTTGTGGCTACTAGTGTTTGGAGGTCACAAACAATCAGAAAGTTTGTTAAGTTGATAACAAGTTGTCAGAATTCTTTGAATGCAAGGGCAGAGGTTGAGT